CCCACACCTGGGCCATTGAGTAATGCTCCTTCCCGGGCATCTTGGATGAACTCTTTAACACTTCAGCCAGTCAGTGTATGGCCTTCCAAGTTGAGTGGCAGGACTTCAGCCACTTGAGCATGTGAGCCCCCACTTTTATGTCCTCCTGGGACGCTTGAGCTGTTAGTTTTCCTTCTCTGAGCCTGTTTGACTCCAGTGTTCCTCTGCTTGGGGCCGGTCACCGGGAACTGTGGATTCCCTGTGCTGGAGGAGGCAGCGAGTCCCTACTCTATGACTGTGTTGGCACTGCCCTCCTGGGGTCTGTTGGGTGGTCGCCAGGTGTGCTGCTGCTGGGTGCCTAGGCACGGAGCATGGAGTTGGGGCAGAAGAGGTCGACCCAAGGTAACATCTGCCTTTGGAGACAACAGTGCAGATACTCTGAGGTCCTGAGAAAGGGGAGTGTGAGGAGTGAGTTGCCTCTAGCTCTTTAACTGGAGGAAAATGTGATCTGACCCCCAGAAAGCCATGTGGCCTTCTAGACTGACATCACCCCAGGGCTTTCTGCCAAGGTCCTGGCTTCCAGTGAGAGTTGATGTGCAGGGAAAGCCCCCCGCCAGCAGGAAGCCACCAGAGGCTGGCCCTGGCCCTGCACACACCCAGGCTCCTTCTTAACTCTTCCTCTGACGGCCAGGAGTCGGGAGGAGGGTCTGCACTCACACCACATCTCTCTCCCTTTGTCAGGAGCAGAGGGTCCCCCAGTCCCCAACCTGGAGAGTTTGGGGCTTGTCAGGGAAGAGAGCCGACTTGGTTCAGGAGCTTGGCAGGAAGTCACTGCCCCCGCTCAGTAAGGTCGGGGGCGAGGGGAACTGGAAATGTCTGTGGTCTTGTCCACAGCAGAGAAGTCATGGGGGTGGAATTCCCCAGACTCACGTGATGTAGGAAGCTGCCCTGGGCCCCAGACCAGCAGCCTCCACAGGGGCCCCCGCCCTGCACCTGCCCTGTCCCCTCTCTTCCCCAGCTCTCCGGGGCACCAGCAGCAGCACCTGCAAACTTACTGGAAATGCAAGTCTTGGGCCTCACTCCACCCTCTGAACTCAAAGTGGGGCTGAGTTCTGGTGAGCTGCCGTTGGAGAAGCTGCAGTTGTGAACCTGGGACTCTGACCTGGGCCAGAGGGCCCTGTCTTCCTCCTGCTCTTCCCTTTGGGACAGCAAAGTGGGCCTGGCCAATCCAGCCAGCTTTAGTGTGGGAAATGATGGCCCTGGGCATCTCTGTAGGGAGAGAGCTGGCGGTGGTTGTACATTAAATAAATGTGTAGTTTGAGAGAATTATAGACTCTTAAGACATTACAAGAAATAACCCAGAGAGCTCTGTATCTTTTACTGGGTTTCCCTAGTGGTAACATCTTGTAAAAGTGTAGCACAACATCACAGGAGGGTACAACTCCATCAATACAGTTGATACAGATATTCCATGCCCACCTTCTATATTCCCACTTGCTTCCCTTCCCTCCTCCCCACGTTTAACCCCTGGCCGCCACCTGTGTGCTCTCCATTTGTGTAATTCCGTCATTTCAAGGATGTTATGTAAAGGGAATCATACAATGTGTAACCTTTGGGGACTGGCTTTTTCCATGCAGCATGGTTCTCTGGAGATTCCTGCAAGTTAGTGCCTGTATCAGTAGCCCTACCTTTTTATGCCTCCAGGCTCACAGATGGTTAACTCTCCACCATTGAAGGATACTGCGTTTCCATTCTTTGGCTGTTAGGAATAAAACTGCTATAAATATTCACATTTTTTTGTATGAATATTTTGCGTGAACCTAAGTTTACACTCCTCTGAGATAAATGTTCAGGAATACAGTTGCTCGGTTGTATAGTGTGCTGCATGCTTAGTCGCTCAGTCATGTCCGACTCTTTGCGACCCCGTTGACTGTAGCCCACCAGGTTTCTCTGTCCATGGGGATTCTCCAGGCAAGAATACTGGTTGCCGTGCCTTCCTCCAGAGGATCTTCCCAACCCAGGGATCAAACCCAAGTCTCCTTCATTGCAGGATTCTTTACCGTCTGAGCTACCAGGGAAGCCCTGGTTGTCTAGTAGCTGCATGCTTAGTTTTATAAGAAACTACCAAATCATTTTTCAGAGTGGCTGTACCATTCTATATTCCCACCAACCATGCATGAGAGACCCAACTTCTCCCAGCCAGCATTTGATGGTGTCACTTTTTTTGTTGTTGGCTGTGCCAGGTCTTAGTTGTGGCACGTGGGATCTAGTTCCCTGACCAGAGATCCAACCCAGGCCCCCTACATTGGGAGTGCAGAGTCTTAGCCACTGAATCACCAGGGAAATCCCACTGTTTTCTTATTTTAGCCATCATGGTAAGTGTGTAGTGATACCTCAGTGTGGTTTTAATTTGCATTTCTCTGATGGCTGGTGATGGTGAACCTCTTTTCGGATGTTTATTTGCCATCTGTACATCCTCTTTGGTGAAATGTCTCCATATCTTTTGCCTGTCTTCTAATTTTTTTTTAACTTTTGCATTTTGAGAGTTCTTTATTTATTCTAGATACTTGTCCTTTGTCAAATACATAGCTTGCAGATATCTCTTCCAGTCTGTAATTTGTCTTTTCATCCTCTTTGTGGGGTCTTTCACAGAGCAGAAATATTCAGTTTTTCCTTTTATGAATCATGCTTTTGGTGTCAGATCTAAGAAAGTTCTCTGACTTTGTGCTGTACATTTAAAATCTATGACTCACTTTGAGTTAATCTCTAAGATGTGAAGTTTAGGGGGTTTTTTGTCTGTGTTTGTCTTCTGCTTTTGCATGTCCAATAGGTCCGGCACCATTTGTTGAAAATACTGTCTTTCCTTCTTTGTGCACCTTTGTCAAAAACTTTTTCCATTGGGCATGTTTGTGTGGGTTTCTGTTGAGTTGTCTCGTTTGTTCTGTTGACCTCTGAGTCAATCCCCCTGCCAACACCACAGTCTAGAGTAGCCTGTCTATGTTCTAAGTCCTGAAAACCCTGTATATTGCTCCAAGCCCCACTCAGCAGGTCTGGGGAGAGTTTCTGTCTGTTGGCAGCACCCCCCATCCCTCATTGCAGTGTTACCATCCTGGTGGTTGTCCCCACGGGGGACAACCAGCTTCCCTTGCCTGGCTGGGTGATTCTGGCTCACAGGCCTAAGTCCAGCGACCCCTGAGCCTTCTGGAGCCACCAGCCCCTTGCTTTTTTGGCCTCTGCTTCCTGGTTGTCACGTGGTCTGGAGCTTGACTCCTCTGGGGAGGAGCATAGGGAAGGGGAGCAGGGCCAGGTGTGAGGTGGACAAGCTCACCAGATGCCTCCTTCCTCTTCTTGTCTAATCTATCACCTCCCGTCCCAGCCCTGGCTCCAATTCTGGGACCTGCTTACCCCAGTGCTCTGTGGGAGGCCTGGGGCCCAAGCCACAGTCCCACTATCCCCTTGACCTGCTCTGGGGTCCTGTGGAGGGACTATGGAGGCTCCATGTGCCTTCAGAACTGTGTTTGCAGAGGACTTGATCGTAACCCTACCTGCCTGGGGCTGCCCTGTCCGTGAGGTCCAGATGGAGTGTGAGCTCTGGGTTTGAGTGAGTCCCAGGGCTGCCCTTTTGCTCCTGAGCCAGAGGGAGGCACTCTGAGTTCTGAGGAGGCAAGACTGAACCTCTGCAAGTTAGCTTCCCCAGGTTTTGTGTGTGTGTATGTGTGTGTGTGTGTGTGTGTGTGTGTGTGTCTGGCCTTGAAATGTTTCCCCAGGTTGTGTGTGTGTGTGAGGCCTTGAAGCCCCTAAAAGGCAGTGGTGCTCTAGGATGGAATCTTGACACAGGTCGAGTGGGGCTTCCCCTGAGACCCCCTGAGAACCATGGCCACTGTGGTTAGGCTAAGTGGAGGTGTGTGTGGAAAGTGGCCCTGGGAGTGCCAGCAAGGGCCCTCAGCCTGGTAGGTGAAGGGTTTGCTTGTGGGGGTATCTGAAGGTGTTGGCAGCCTGAAGGAGAAGCCAGCCACTGCCTCGCTGGTTTTCTCAGGTGCTAAGTGGAAGAGAGTGGGCCCCACACGGTGGGGGGAAGCATCCCCCCTTTCCAGCGTTGGCACACAAGCTCCATGAGTGTCCACTGGCCCCTGCTGCTGTGTCCCCATTGGGTCGCCCCCAGCCCTCTGCCCACTGCACTGTGTGTGCCTCCCTGCCTTGTTGCATCATCACCCTGGACGTCAGGCAACCTGTAGGGGTCAGGTCTGCCCTGGGCAGCCCCCTTGGCCTCAGAACGAGAAAGTGGGTACGTGTCACCCTTCTGCTGCCGTGGGGTGGGGGGCTGCCAGCCAAGGATGAGCTGCTGACCCCACACCGAGTTCCAGCAGGCGACCCACACACACACCCCCACCCCCTAATCTGGCTGGAGGACAGCTGACCCTGTGACTCTGGCATCTGGAGGGCCTGCCCACCATGGGGCGGGGTAGTGCCTCCTGGTGGCCCCCTATGTGCTTCTGGCCTTGCCCTCCACCCGGGGGCCTTGTGTGTGGTTGGAGGAGAGGGGCTGGGGTGGATTCTGGCAGTTGGGTCCTGAATACTCCCTGGCTTCTATATGAATCCATGCCTTCACATAGGGAGGGGGAATGTGGAAGGTTTTAAGGATCAGAAAGCCTTCTTCCATCTTCCAAAGGTATCCCAGGAGTGCTTGGTGGCAGGGCCTGACCAGCAAGGGCTAATGCTGGCTTCTGAGCTAGATGTAAGGGGGTGTGGTGAGCAGAGGTTTGCCAGGGTGGGCAGTGTAAGGTTGGGCCAATGCCAGGGTGGCCTGACCGCCCCACCCCACCCCGAGTGGGCCCCCAGGTCCCCTGTCACCCTCCATCCTTGAGAGCAGAGGCAGGACGGGGCTTGGTACTCCCAGCTGCGTCTCCATGCACTTCTGTCCCCCTTGTCCCCGCAGCCAGAGCAGCCGAGTCTCACGTGAGCACTGGTGCGGGCTGCTTCCTGCCTCCCGCAGACCTGGCCTTCAGGCTGTTCCCAAGCCAATGAACCCCATGAACCCCATGAAACCTGCCCTGCCCCCCGCACCACACAGGTGAGTGGGGGCTCCGGCTGCCCTCCCCTCTCAGGCCTCCGAACGTGGGAGGGTGGTGGTGGAGCGGGACCCCGCTGCTCTCAGCCTTCAGATCCTCCCTGATGGGGTTCTCGGCACCTGAGGCCTCCTCACCCAGGCTCCCCACCTGTGCCTCTCTGTGCAGTGATGGTCCATTCGCATATGAGGCGGTGCCTTGGCAACAGAGTGCCACTCAGCCAGCAGGATCGCTGTCTGTGGTCACAACTGTGTGGGGAGTCGGCAACGCAGCACAGAGCCAGGTGAGCCCAGCCCTGGCCCCACCCTGGGAGGCGTCAGCGCCCAGCTCAGGTCTTGGAGGCGTGGAGCCAGGGCTTCCTGGGTCTCCCACGTCCTCTGAAACCAGTTCTTCCACGCATGGCATGGGATCCTCTCCTCCTGTCTTTGCCTGGCCTCCACACCCCCACCTGTGCGCAGCTCCCCACCACCCCCACCACCCCACTGGACCACCCCTCCCCTCTGCCCTCACCTCCACCTCCTCACCTGCCAGGCCTCTTCTTTCCAGCACTTTAGAACCACTGCACGAAGCAGGTTGTTTGCATGGTCTCCTTTAGTGATTCTCGGTTCCTTGTAGGTTTTGGGGAACCCCATGGGCCCTGCAGGGAGCCCCCCCGGCAGCTCCGTGATGCCCGGCATGGCAGGCGGCAGCTCTGCCCTGAGCTCCCCGCAGTGCCTTGGACAGCAGGCGTTCGGTGAGGGTGGTGCCAACAAGGGCTACGTGCCGCAAGGGGTGTATGGCCGCGGGGGCTACCCCGGGGGCCCTGGCTTCACTACTGGGTAAGCAGGACCCTCCTCCCCTGGCAGGTGTGCCAGGAGCCCTCTGGGGGCGCGATGCTTCTTACTTGGTGGGCACCAGGGAACTGTGTATCGGGAATTATTGTGACCTTGCTGCTCCTGCCAGCTCCTGAGATAATGATGGGGTGTCTGGGAAAGAATGGGGCTCCCCGTAGGTGCCGTGTGCCCCCCCTCAGGAGAGGCCAAGGGAGTGCCTCTGAGCTGAGCCTTCTGTTTCTTGCAGGTATGCAGGCGGCCCGGGGGGCCCGGGGGGCCTGGGCCTCCCCTCACACTCAGCACGGCCATCCACTGACTTCACTCAAGCAGCAGCAGCTGCTGCAGTGGCTGCTGCTGCCGCCACGGCCACCGCCACAGCCACGGCCACCGTGGCCGCCCTCCAGGAGAAGCAGAGCCAGGAGCTGAGCCAGTACGGAGCGGTGAGGCCCCGCAGCTCCGCCTGTGTGGCCCATGTGTGCTGGCCCGGAAGACGGGGGCCTGTCAGGAAACCAGGGTGGAGGACTTGGGGACATGCAGGCCATGTTTCAGGGCTGATGAAGATGAGACAGGAAGGGAGTGGGAAGCTGAGGGGAGAGGTCCCGGGCTGGGGACAGCCTGCCTGCAAGGGGTGGGCTTGGGGGTGGCACCCACACTGGTGGGTAAGGTCTGGATGGTTCTTGTTTTCTTTTCCCAGATGGGGGCCGGACAGTCTTTTAACAGCCAGTTCTTGCAGCACAGTGGTCCCCGAGGGCCCAGCGTGCCCAGCAGCATGAACCCGGCCAGCGTGGGAGGGCTGATGGGCCCCTCCAGCATGAGCCCCATGGGCATGAACCCCACCCGGGCAGCGGGCATGGCGCCCCTCTATTCAGGGCAGCGCCTGCCCCAGCAAGGGTACCCGGGCCCCCCCCAGGCCCAGCCGCTGCCCCGACAGGGTGTCAAGAGAGCCTACTCAGGCGAGGTGAGTAGCCGGGCTTCCCTCCTCACAAGGGCCATCAGAGTCGTTGGATGTGAGAGAACTGGCCATGCCTGATGAGGGACTCCACCGTCCCTTTGTGGGAACCAGCTTCCCCGACACCTCTTCTTCTGGGCCTTTTGCCTCTTTCCTTCCTCAGGTGTACCCTGGGCAGCAGTACCTGCCAGGAGGCCAGTATACGCCTGGTGCCACCCAGTATGCCCCTGGCCCCGGGCAGCCCCCTGCCCCATCCTCCTACCCTGGGCACAGGCTGCCCCTGCAGCAGGGCACAAGCCCATCCCTGTCCACCGCCAGCCCTGCGGGACCACACTTCAAGGTAGGGCCGGCTCCACCCGGCCTCTGGGGCCCCTGCTGGCCCTGCTCCCAGCTTTGTGGGACACAGACCTTGAGGCAACCAGGGCCGGCTGGGGAGTGGGCCCCGGAGTGCTCAGGTGACAGGCAACCACGAGCTTCACAGGGGTCCCAACTAGTGTAGGGCAGCTCCCAGGACAGGCATGCAGGTGTGAAAGGAGCCTCTGTGAGAGGTATGGCGTAGGGATTATCAGGCAGATACCAAGCCACTTTAGGGAGAAGTGTCCCCATTTCCTCTGCTTGCTGCCAAGTAGCCCAGCAAGGGGACAGGCCAGAGGGGTCAGGAGGGGCCTGAGTGGTAGAGATGCTGCTGGAGAAGGGCGAGGAGATGTGAGTACCTATGTCCTTTCAGCCTCTGTGGCTTCCCTGTAAATCCCTCTGATGTGTGGGGTCAGCTCTTTTTCTGTAGTGGTAATTCTGTAAATTATGAAATCTGTGTGTGCTCCCTGTAGATTATTTGGGGAACCCAAAAAGTGTATAAAGGAAAAAGACCAACACCCACCCATGCATGTGCTGTCCCCAGTCCTCTCCTAGGGTCAGTTCCAGGCCCTGCTCGGAGGCAGGCGGCAGCCCCACACACATGCAGTTTTCTCTCCTGCAGCCTGCAGAACAGTTCAATGGGCAGGGTGCCAGCTTCAACGGGGGCAGCATCAGCTACAGCCAGCCTGGCCTGAGTGGGGTATGGTCAGATGGGCAAGCGGGCGGGAGGCCCACTGGGTGGATGCGGGGAGAGAGGGCACTCAGGCAGGAGGGCGTGTGGAGGCCCAGCCAAGCGCCCCTGGGGCTGCCCCCTGCCCATCCCTGGCCTGACCGTTCCCAGCTGGTGCTCCAGGAACAAGCACCCCCTCACCAGTCCACCTCCACTGTTTGTTCCACGCCACAGCCCGCTCGTTCCATCCCTGGCTACCCCAGCTCCCCACTGCCCGGGAGCCCCACGCCACCCATGACCCCCGGCAGCAGCATCCCCTACATGTCTACCAGTCAGGAGGTCAAGTCTCCCTTCCTGCCTGACCTCAAGCCCAGTGTGAGCAACTTGCACCCATCGCCGCCTGGTGAGTGAGGTCTGCTCTCAGGACTGGTGGGCAAGGGCTCTGGAGAGTCCTGCAGGGAACTTGGTGGGTGAGGGGAGCGCTTCACCTTTATTTTCTGTTAATGGAGCTCTTTGCAAATCTATTCGAGGTGTGGATCACCTCTCTAGAAAAATAGCCATGCATCCAAAGTTTTGGGTATGGTTCCGGAGTATGTATGGGCCCCCAGAAGCCCACTCCTGATATCTGGGAGACCACTGCAGCAGCTGGGGTCTTAAAACCCTGACTTGAGCACTGGGGTGGTAGCAGGTGGCCCGTTCACACCTCTTCTGCCTCCTGCTCCCTCTGAAAGCACCAAAAGCGCCACCTTTTTGGGTGGGGAGCGTGTTCTCTTGAGAGTCATGATGCAGGAATCATTGGGCCAGGCGACTCAGGCAGGGAAGAATGGCGGGTCACCAAGATCCTGTTTCTGTTGGAGGTGAAGGCCGAGCCCAGAGTCCTAGGAGAGATGCTGTCCTAAGGCCCAGCCCCATGAAAGGGGAGGAGGGGCCACACTCTCCTCAACCATGGGCCCCACGGTGGGGGCAGGGGCAGGCTGCCTGGCCTCATGGCCATCCAGGGCTGGTGGCCTGCTCACACCTGCGTGGCCTGCTTCCAGGCAGTGGCCCCTGTGACGAGCTGCGGCTGACCTTCCCCGTGAGGGACGGGGTGGTCCTGGAGCCCTTCCGCCTGCAGCACAACCTGGCGGTGAGCAACCATGCCTTCCAGCTCCGAGACTCCGTCTACAAGACCCTGATGTTGAGGTGAGCGGACGCCTGCCAACGGCTCGCAGCCCCACCCACCGCCCCCTGACTCTCAGCGTCCATCCTCCCCATGCAGGCCTGACTTGGAGCTGCAGTTCAAGTGCTACCACCATGAGGACCGGCAGATGAACACCAACTGGCCGGCCTCGGTGCAGGTCAGTGTCAACGCCACCCCACTCACCATCGAGCGCGGCGACAACAAGACCTCCCACAAGCCCCTCTACCTGAAGCACGTGTGCCAGCCGGGCCGCAACACCATCCAAATCACCGTCACCGCCTGCTGCTGCGTGAGTGCCCGTAGCAGGGCAGGGCGGGGCCATCATCACTGAAGAAGATGGCACTGGCTCTCCTCCTTCCCGTGATGGGCCTTAGAGAAAAGGGTCTCAGTTAAAAATGTCCTGGCAGCTTTCCAGTTAGGTTCAGTAACTAGATTTGATGCTCATGTAAGCATCAAATGTTAATTATGTAAGAGAAGTAAGCTAAGCTTGCCTGTTTCCTGGAAGACGCTCACAAAGTCCCGAGTCCCAGCTGACCCTGAATCCTTGTTAAGGAGTCATCTGGGTTCTGGCAGCTCCAGATCCAGCACTAGAAGAGGCACTTAGATGCACAGCTCTGATCAGCTTAGGTGGGAGGGAGCAGAGGCAAGGCAATCCTAATGCAGCCCTGTGGGCCTGGGATGTTATCACATGGACCCAGCATAGGATACCAGTGGATGCTGTAGGCAGGGTGCACTCAGGGGCCTCTCGAATAATTGTGTTTCAACAGAGAGGCCGTGGTTGAACACTGGTTCAGATACACAGTGAGCTTTACCAATAGGTGTGGGTGTGGGCTCCTGACTCCCCGGGGAGGCGTGGTAGTAGCCCGCCTGTGCATTGGCTGTGAGAGGAGGGTGGGCCAGCACAGAGCCTCCCTGCGCCGCCCCCCGCTGACCACATCCTCCCACTGCAGTCTCACCTCTTCGTGCTGCAGCTGGTGCATCGGCCGTCCGTCCGCTCCGTGCTGCAGGGCCTCCTCAAGAAGCGCCTCCTTCCCGCCGAGCACTGCATCACCAAGAGTGAGTGGCCCTCGCGCTCCCCAGCTCTGCTGGGGCCGCTGCCACACCTGGCACGTCCCCATGTTAGACACGGCTATCTCCTCAGGGTCGGGGGCTCCATGCCAGGGGGAGCGGTCAGTCCCAGAATGGCCCTCCGAGGTGCTGAGCTAGCAGTGGCCTGGTCCCGCTTGGCAGCCCTCACTCAGGTCTTGCTTTCCCCTGTTGGTGTCAGTAAAGCGGAACTTCAGCAGCGGAACCATTCCTGGCACCCCAGGACCCAACGGAGAGGATGGGGTGGAGCAGACAGCCATCAAGGTGGCCCTCAAGTGCCCCATCACCTTCCGCAGGATCCAGCTCCCTGCCCGGGGCCACGACTGTCGCCACATACAGGTGGGTGGTCACCCCAAAGCTTTGCCAAAGCTTTTGCTGCTGTTTTACTGTTTTTGGCGAATGTGGCCTCTGAGCACCTCAGCTGGTGGGTGGCAGGGCAGGACAGCCCGTGGACAGGCTGCCTGGCTCCCCTGCCCTCTTCCCTCAGACTGGGCTTTTGTTTCTTCTAATATTATCCTAAGTATAACAGCCATTTTACTGGGTTCTTAGGGCTCCATTGTATTTTACTTATTTACTATTTTATTTACTTATTTGGCTGCACTGGGTCTTAGTTATGGCATGCAGATCTTCAGTCTGTTGTGGCACATGGAATCTTTCAGTTACTATAGGCAGAATCTTTAGCTGTGGCATGTGAACTCTTAGTTGCAGCATGTTAGGTATAGTTCCCTGACCGGGAATCAAACCCAGGCCCCCTGCATTGGGAGCACAGGTCTTAGCTATTGGATCACCAGGGAAGTCCTGGGGCTGCCATTTCAAACAGCGTCGGGGATTCAGGGCACAGTCTGCTCCCTGCCTTGCCCCCAGGAACAGGACCTGAGGTTCTTTCTGCAGAAACACTCTGTGGGTAGACACGTACCCACACTCTCCCCTCACCCTCCACCTTTGGTTACATAAGCTGTATACCCATCGCTCTACTTAATGTTTTTCTTCCACACCACGTCCTGGAAGTTGTTCCCTATCAGCACGGTTGACCAATTCTTGCTTTGGCCACATGTCATTCCCATGAGGGCTCTGTAGGCATCCTGTCTCTTACGTCTGTGAGGATGGTGCCACAGTGAAAGCCTGGCACATGCACCTTCTCAACATGCAGTAAATAAGCCCCACGTCCCTAGAAATGCAGGACTTTCTCTCAGGGCATGGCTGGGTTACCCCCAGCCCCAATGTGAGTAACTGTCTCCCCTTTCTCTGCAGTGCTTTGACCTGGAGTCCTATTTACAGCTTAACTGTGAGCGAGGGACCTGGAGGTGCCCCGTGTGCAAGTGAGTGTGTTAGAAGCAGTCCCCGTGGCTCTGGGGGTGGGTGGCACGTCCTCGCAGGCTGTTAACAGTCATTTCCTTCCATCAGCACTGAGAAGTGCCTGCCCCAGATATGAGGATGGTGCTGCTCTAGGCAGGGACCTCACACAGGGTCACCTCACACAGGGGGCAGAGATGTGATGGGGTCCATGCCCCAGGTGAGGTCGAGCCAGCCGTCTGAGCTGTGTCCCCTTGGTTTTCTACAGCAAGACGGCGTTGCTGGAGGGCCTAGAGGTGGACCAGTACATGCTGGGCATCCTTATTTACATTCAGAAGTAAGTCTCCTTTCCTGCAGCCCCAGAGGGCAGCCCTGGGACAGGTGCGGAGACACCCCATGCTGACCCAGCATGGAGCGGGCTCAGCTCCAGGCCATGGACGGAATCCACGTCCGACCTGCATGCCACAGGCACGTGGAGCGTGCTGGGCGGCCACGAGCATTTGAGTGGAAGGTTGGCCTAGAAACAGTGCAGGGCCAGGAGAGGCGGCAGGGCAGGTGGTAACCAGCCCTGCTATCCCTGCCCAGCTCTGACTATGAGGAGATCACCATCGACCCCACGTGCAGCTGGAAGCCAGTGCCGGTGAAGCCTGACTTGCACGTCAAGGAAGAGCCGGATGGGCCGGTGCTGAAGCGCTGCCGCACTGTGAGCCCTGCCCACATGCTCATGCCCAGCGTGATGGAGATGATCGCCGCCCTGGGCCCGGGTGCCACACCCTTCACCCCCCTGCAGCCCCCCTCAGCCCCGGCCCCTGGCGACTACCCCAGCCAGGGTGAGTACAGGGGACTTGCCCTGGAAAATTAGGGCCCTGGGCGATGATCCAGCCTCTCCCACTAGTCTGCCACCTGTGAACGCGTTGCTCTGAGGGCCACGAGCCTGGGGGCCTGGTTGGAGACTTGGGGGTACAGATGCCCAGCTGGGTGGTGGGGGATGGGCAGAGGTGCCCGGGCTATGGCTGCGCCCACCTCCCCAGAGGTTTGGAACAGAGGTCTGTGTTGGCACACTTCCAGACCAGCCGCATCCAGCCTTGTGGGTGGGAGTGTCTGGGCGTGGTGGGTCCCATTCCTGTCCCCTCACAGCCTCCTGGCAGTAGCATGACCACTTCCCCCAGCAGCAGCGAGAAGAAATGCCCTTTCCCAAGTAGCAACTTCATAAAGGCCAACATCCTCTGGGCGAGCGCAGTGAGTCCTGCCCGTGCTGTGGCCAGGCTGCCCTCGTGGCTCAGCCAGCATGAGCCCCCTGCCCTCACCTGGACCTGGCTCTCCTCTCTCAGGTTCCAGCTTCCTGGGACCCGGGACCTTCCCCGAATCCTTCCCACCCACCACACCCAGCACCCCAACCCTGACTGAGTTCACCCCAGGGCCACCGCCTGTCTCCTATCAGTCCGACATTCCCAGCAACCTCCTGACGCCAGAGAAGTCCGGCCCCTGCCTCCCAGGCCAGGTCAGTGTCGAGTCAAGGGGTTGTGGAGCTGTCCCCCCAGGGGGCCCTCAAGCCGTTTTACTAGGTTGTTCTCTCCTTCCTCAGATGGCACCAGCAGGTCACCTGGACCCAGCCCATAACCCTGGGCCCCCGGGGCTGCACGCCCCTAACCTTGGAGGCCCCCCAGGGCCCCAGCTGCATCATCCAAACCCTCCCCCAACATCCCGGCCAGCTCTGGGCCCAGTGAACTCGGGGCCTCTCAGCGAGCTGGCCTTCAGTGCTGCCACAGGCATGATGGGGCACCCTGTGTCTGGGGCAGGGGAGGCCCCGGAACCGGCTCTGGACGTGAGTACTGGGCCCTGTGTTGGGGAGCACTTGGAGCTGGGGCTCGGGGGTGCTTATCTGTTGTCCCCAGGGTCCGTGCACTTCATAGAAGGAAAGACAGTGACTCCTCCATGACTTTCAGACTCGGGGAGAGCTGGTTGGGTGATGCCAGCATTTTTGTTGTCAGGTGTCCAGAGTAGCTGTGGGGTGATTGTGTCCAGGCACCTGGTTCTCGGGACCTGCGCGCCAACGTGGCACATGCAGAGTCCCCGAGAAGACTTGGCTTGTGGCCAATGACACCGGCCTTAGGGTCTGACTTGACTTGTCTGACTCACAGGTGGTGTGCGAGCCAGAACCAGTGCATAAAAGACAGGTGATTGTCCCTCCATCCTGATAAATGAATACAAAGTTCAACGTGAAAAAATGTGGCAAGCACAGCTCAAAGCAGAAAATTCCACCTTCTGCATTCATGCTGTTCGTGTTCAGGACCCCTCATGGGCCGGGGTGTCCCATGTTGTCCTTGGACAGCTTAACACAAGTGATTCCTGGTTGCTGAGCAGTCTTGGGCAGGAAGAGGCCCTGTGAGGAGCAGGCTGAGGGGCTCTGGTGCTAGCCTGTGTTGGAGGCTGGCGGCGGGGCACCCCACTTCCCGGCTGGGCCTGGGGACCCGGTTGGGATGCTGTGGCAGGTCTGAGGCCAGAGCTGCTATCAGGTTTGCTTTGTCCCCAGCTGCTTCCAGAACTGACTAACCCCGATGAGCTGCTGTCCTACCTGGGCCCACCCGACCTCCCCACGAACAGCAACGATGACCTGCTTTCTCTCTTCGAGAACAACTGATCTTGTTTGTCAACCACCTGGCTGGCAGGGATGTGCCCACCGATGTCTCGCACCCTTCTTTCCAGCCCAGCCCCACCTGACACCAGCGGCCCTCCCCACGTGTACGCCTGGATCTGGGACCCGCCCCCGACACCTGGCTGCCGGAGGCCGCACCGCACTGGCTGGGAAGGGAGCCCTGGGGCAGGGTTCTCACTGGCCCGGTTTGCAGCTGCAGAACTGTTTTTGACAAGATGCCCAGCCCTGTCCCCAAATGTGCCAGCCCATGCTTGTCCAGCCCTGCCTGGTTCATGCATACCCACCACCCCTGAACTCCAGCCTCACCCAGGCCCCCCACCCCGCCTGCTCCCACCAGCCTGCATTTTGTCCAGCGTTGACCTTTCTGTTTCAGTGACCCGTTTGGCCCTAGGCCAGCAAGGAGTGGGTTACTCTGTCCTGGGGCCTGGTCTCGCCCAACTCTCTATGGCAGGGGCTTCAGGCTGAGGCTGGGGGTGGGGGGCTCTAAAGCACAACAGTGTACATAGTGTAGAAACACTAATAGATGTAGGGTGGCTGATTCCTCTGTGCAGGTTGGGTCTCCGTGGGCTCCTGTCTTCACCCATGTGCAGGCCGGGAGGGGTGGGGGGCAGCAGGCTCCCTTCTGCTGTTGGTTGGGCTCAGACTCGACCCCGTGTGCAGATTCTCCAGCAGCCTGTTCCCCCAAAGTTCCCCGTTTCTGTAAGAGTGAAGAATTGGTTCCACAGTGTTTTTTAAGTCCACCTCTCCTCCCACGTCCTCCCTGGGGCCACGCCAGGTGGGGGAGGAGGGGCACCACACTCTAGGTGCAGGGCCGAGTCGTGTCCCCTGTCTGCCTGTCTATTAAAGGACTCCCTCGTGGTGGGCCTGGCAAGTCCCTCCTTCCTGCTCCACCTGTTTACCACACATGGGCGGGGCTCCCTGCTCAAGGCAAGGACCAACTATTTGCAACCCGTGGTAAATTTCCTTGTCCCTGGAATTTTCCAAGTTGGCTCTGGCTAGAGAGCTATTTGTGAAGTGTCACCAGGGCTGGGAGACACATCTGCCACCACGTCACGGTGTGGGCTTGCCTCGGGCGTGGAGCCAGCTGTGGGGCCAAGGGGCAGGCTCTGAGTGCCTGACCAGCTGCACACTGGTGCATCTGTGCGCTCACGGCCCGAGCGGCCCCGTGGGCCTTCCAGTCCAGCAGAAAAGGCTTATGAGCCCTGTCGGGGAGAGGGGGGAGCACAGCCAGAGACCGGCCCCAGTGGACATGGGGCAGTGTCCAGGATGGGGCGGCTCCAGGTTGCCCACTGACATTTTGAAACCCCAGGTGTGGGCCTTCCTATGCCTCTGCAGCCTTGTTTCTACCTGAGGGAACGGAAGTAGAGAAAGGCTACGGGAGGAACAGTGGCCCCAGGGTTGCAAGGGGCAAAGAGGCAAGCCCCAGGGTTTGCCCAGAAGCCCACCCCAAGGATAGGTAGGCAACAGGGTCAGAGACAGGCCCAGCACAACCCACCCCTAGGAGTGGTGGGGGGGGCACACTCCTACCCGTTCTGGGGGGCATTAGGCATAGCTGGGAATGTCCCAACTTGAGGTCTCGGTGGGCCTCTGCACCCTCGGCCTGTAACATTCTGGGTGTTGGGTGGAGTGGGGAGAGCGGGAGGTGGGGATGAGCCAAGATAGCTTCTAGCTACTCAAACTCCACCCGTGGCGGGGGGGAGCGGGTCTGAGGGGAAATCGCACACCATCAGGGCCCCCAGCTCCGATGTCACTGCAGCATCTTCTCAAACACAGCAGGATGAAATTAAGGTGTGGGAGTTGATGAAATGTGATGGCATTCCTGTAAAACATGACACCAAATATGTACATTTCATGGATTCACACACACACGAGGCAGTGATGAAGGGAAGCAAGATGGTCAACGTGTTGGCCACAGTGCTTCCCATCAGAACAGCATGGGTATGTCCAGGGAGAGTATCAATGGTGTCCTCATCCTCAAGGGGAGTGGTGGTTTCATGAGCTTCAAATGCTTCATATATTGTATATCCCAGTAAGTCCTTGATGGCTCAGCAGGTAAAGAATGTGCCTGCAATGTTGAAGACAGGAGATGTAGGTCCTATTCCTAGGTCAGGAAGATCCCCTGGAGGAGGAAAATGGCAACCCGCTCCAGTCTAGCCTGGAGAATCCCATGGACAGAGAAACTTGGAGGGCTACAGTCCAAAGGGTCACAGAGTCAGACACAACTGAGTGACTAAGCACAATGTACATACCAAATACACAACTTAAAAAAAAAAAGCCAACTAGGCCTAACAACAGTTCACCCGACAGCAGCAGAATACATGTTATTTTTAAGTGCATGTGGAACATTCTCCAGGAGAGACCACGTGTTAGACTGTAAAACAAGTCTCAATAAAAAAAAGTTGAAATCATACTAAAGAATGTAGTCTGACCACAGTGAAATGTAGATAACAGAAGAGAAGACGCTTATCTGCTGGAAAACTCAAATATGTGGAAATGGACACTTCAAAAACTGAAGGGTCACAGGAGAAACCACAACTTAATTACAGTATAAAACACTATACAAATTGTATTTTGTGAGCCAAAAAGTTTAATTTTGGCTGTACTGGGTCCTTGTTGCTGCACGGGCTTTTCTCTAGTTGCAGTGAGTGGGGTCTACTCTCTGGTGCAGTGTGCAGGCTTTTTATTATGGCTTCTCGTTTGATGGAGCACGGGCTCTAGGGTGCTTGGACTTCAGTGGCTGTGGTGTGTGGGTTCAATGGTTGTGGTTCCTGAGCTCTGGAACATGGGTTCAGTAGTTGTCGGGCATGGGCTTAGTTGCTCTGCGGTATGGGATCTAACCCGTCGTCTCCTGCATTGGCAGATGATTATTTACCACTGAGCCACTGAAATTTAATATGCAATTAAAGCGGTTTAAGTAGGGAAATTTATAGCTGTGAATGTCTACAGATATGGAGCTCAGTCAACCTAACTACCACTGAAGGCAGTAGAAAAAACTAAATCCAGAGCTCACAGAAGGAAGGAAATAACTATTAGAGCAGAGCGAATAGGAAAACAATAGAGAAGCATTGTCAGCAAAGTTGTTTCTTTGAAAAGCAACAGAATGAACAAACCTTTAGCTACACTGACTAAAGGAAAAGAAACAAATGACTAAAATGTGAAATGAAATTCAGGGAAATTACTATGAGCTCACCTTAGGATCAGTCAGCCAGCCAGTTCAGTTGCTCAGTTGTGTCCAACTCTTTATGACCCGGTGGACTGCAGCATTCCAAGCCTCCCTGTCCATCACCAACTCCGAAGCCTACTCAAACTCATGCCACTGAGTTGGTAATGCCATCCAACCATCGCATCCTCTGTCGTCCCCTTCTCCTCCCACCTTCAATCTTTCCCAGCATCAGGGCCTTTTCAAATGAGTCAGTTCTTCACATCAGGTCGCCAAAGTATTGGAGTTTCAGCTTCAGCATCAGTCCTTCCAATGAATATTCAGGACTGATTTCCTTTAGGATGGACTGGTTGGATCTCCTTGCAGTCCAAGGGACTCTCAAGAGTCTTCTCCAACACCACAGTTCAAAACCATCAATTCTTCAGCGCTCAACTTTCTTTACAGTCCAACTGTCACATCCATACATGACTACTGGAAACACCATAGACTGGACTAGATGGACCTTTGTTGGCAAAGTAATGCCTCTGCTTTTTAATATGCTATCTAGGTTGGTCATAACTTTTCTTCCAAGGAGTAAGTGTCTTAATTTCATGGCTGTGGTCACCATCTGCAGTGATTTTGGAGCCCCCCAAAATAAAGCCTGCCACTGTTTCCCCATCTATTTTCCATGAAGTGATGGGACCAGATGCCATGATCTTAGTTTTCTTAACGTTGAACTTTAAGCCAACTTTTCCACTCTCCTCTTTCACTTTCATCAAGAGGCTCTTTAGTTCTTCACTTTCTGCCATAAGGGTGGTGTCATCTTTATATCTGAGGTTATTGATATTTCTCCCAGTAAACTTGACTCCACCTTGTGTTTCCTCCAGCCCAGTGTTTCTCATGATGTACTCTGCATATAAGTTAAATAAGTAGAGTGAATATACAGCCTTGACGTACTCCTTTTCCTATTTGGAACCAGTTTATTGTTCCATGTCCAGTTCTAACTGTTGCTTTCTGACCTGCATACAGATTTCTCAAGAGGCAGGTCAGGTGGTCTGGTATTCCCATCTCGAAGAATTTTCCACAGTTTGCTGTGATCCACAGAGTCAAGGCTTTGGCATAGTCAATAAGGCAGAAGTAGATGTTTTTCTGGAACTCACTTGCTTTTTCGATGATCCAGCAGATGTTGGCAATTTGATCTCTGCTTCCTCTGCCTTTTCTAAAAGCAGCTTGAGCATCTGGAAGTTCACGGTTCACATATTGTTGAAGCCTGGCTTGGAGAATTTAGAGCATTACTTTACTAGCGTGTCAGATGAGTGCAACTGTGCAGTAGTTTTAATGCTTTTTTGGCATTGTCTTTCTTTGGGATTGGAATGAAAACTGACCTTTTCCAGTCCTGTGGCCACTGCTGAGTTTTCCAAATTTGCTGGGATATTGAGTGCAGCGCTTTCACAGCATCATATAGCTCAGCTGGAATCCCATCACCTCCACTAGCTTTGTTCATAGTGATGCTTCCTGACGCCCACTTGACTTTACATTCCAGGATGTCTGTCTCTAGGTGAGTGATCACACCATCATGATTATCTCGGTCGTGAAGATCTCTTATCCTTAGGAGGCTAAGAGAATATAAAGTCGTGCACCAACAAATTACATAACAAGTGAAATGGTCTAATTCCTAGAAACACAAATAACCAAAACTGACTTAACAAGAAACAAAATATGAGCAGACTTACCAGTACAGAGACTGAAACAATAATTAAACCTCCAACACAGAAAAATTCTGGGGGCACATGACTTGAAGGCTGAATCCTACCATGTGAAGTATTATACCGAACTTCCTCCCATTTTTGTAAACATTGACAAGGGGGGAATACTTACTGTTTCTTAGAGGCAGCTCCCTACGTTGCCAGCCTTTTCTCCCTCTAAGTTTGGCAGTCTGTGTCCTCTCCCTGGGGCTTCCAAAGCAGTGCTAGTGGAAAGAACCTGCCTGCTGAAGCAGGAGACAAGAGATGAGAGTTCAATCCCTAGGTCAGGAAGATCCCCTGGCAGAGGGCTTGGCAACACACTGCAGTATTCTTGCTGAATCCAATAAACAGAGGGGCCTGGTAGGCTACAGTCCATAGTATCAAACAGAGTTGGACACCACTGAAGTGACTTAGCACGCACACATGTCCTCTCCTCGCAGCGAGGGGCTGCCATGCCACCTCGTTCCTCTTAGCTCCACTCACCGCAGCCCCAGCCTCACTGCCATCCCAAGCTTGGGTGGCCGTTGAGAGTGTCCTTACCTGCCACAGGTTAAACGAGGGAAGGCAGGGATGGTAGGGCA